TGTAACTATATCATTTTTTATTGCATGAATCCCTTATTTTTTAATGTCTTAGTTCTCAATATTTTGCTTTAATAAGCAACCTAGTCATTGTTAGAGTTTTTTTCCTTTACTCTAATTCCTGATTATTTTCGACGTATTTGGTAACTAGTTGTGTCAAGGCCATCATAATGCACTTAACATTTTGTTTGATGCTTTGGAAGCATGTAGAAACATGACACATAGCCCCAATCCTGCAGGAGTTAAAACTTAGTTGCATATATGCCTAATGCATGAAACCAGTAATGAATAATTTATTCTAGCATATTAATAAATGTTAAGTTATGTGGTTCTGATTAAGTGCTTTGATGTGCAGTTTGGGGGTAGCACATCCAGTATAGTTGGGGCGGACTTCCAGGATGAAATGCACTTTGACCTGGTCTTTGAAGAGTAAGTGGAATTCATAGTAAATGGGCATGTAGAACATTCTAGGGGAAAGGAACAAGATGCATAAGGTTAAAAAAATGAGTATGTTTGATATTCACAGTACCATAAGAAGGCTGTTTAAGTTTAACATTCTTTTAATGCCACTGCGGAGCAATAAGTATTGAATACCAACTTCTGAAAAATCTGGGCAGTATTTGATTTAACATAGTTTTTCCAATTTTATTGAGATATAATTGTTTTTAATATTAAAACATTATTTAATATTTCCTTTTCTATTCCTTCAGACAGAAATATCTTAATTAACTATGCTTAATAAGTGAGAATTGCTTGTCTTTTCTAGAAACTTTGCTTAATGACTATTTTTTGTGCTACTGTGTGGTTTTTCAGTCATTTATATATATTTTACGTAGTATATGACTTTGAATGAAATGCTCTTTGGATAATATGACTCAACATTGCTTTCATTTTGCACTGGGACAACAGGATATATTAAATAATACTTTGAAAATTTTCTTCACTGTTGGGTTGGGTGGGGCCACTGAGATGATTGTTGAGTGAACACAAATTTGTAGTAAATTTCTTTGAACTAACACACAGTGCTCCACATGCTCTTATTTTTGAGATGTAAATGTACTCAGTCATATTTATAATGGTTGTTTCACAAGAAAAATCAAAAGAAATATTCTCTGTAGTGGTATTTTTTTAAAATTACATCTGGCTAAACTTCTTAAATGTTTTAATACCTGTCCACTTTATATCAAGGAAAAACACATGTATCTCATACCTTCTTAAGGATCAGTGTTTCTTCAAGTGGGTTGTACATCAGAATTAAAGGAACTACATTTCAGAATCACTTGAGATGTTTGTGAAAATTAACATTCCTAGGCCCCACCCTTATGGGATTTAGGAGAAAGTGTGGGATTCTGCATTTTAACATATTTGCCTAGGAATTCCACATGTTAAAGTTTGAGAACCCTGCTTTGGGAAAATATTGTCTAATTTATCTCCACAGCTGTGGTGTCATGACATGCATCAAGACTTGGTAGATACTATCACTGAAATCTTACCTTTATTGAATTTTCATAGGACCTGTTGTGCTTTTAGGAAATTACAGAGTAATTTGTCCTTTTTGGATAAGAAAACTTACTTAAAAACTATCTACCACATTTAAAAAGCTGTAGATCCTTTGTCAAGTTTCTTTTCCTAATTTGGCATTATTCACCTTTATCCAACAGTAATTTCTTCATTGTAAGTGTTTAGACCTATGTGTCCCATTACTCACTTATATTGCCGCTTGGCTTCCACTCATAAAAGGCCAGTATCTCTTTAAGTTTTAAAAAGTTAAAAAGTGAGGACCAGAAAGGGTAAAATTTGCCCTCTTCAACTGTTACTGAGGATGGTATAAGATGACTTTCATGACTGAAATAACATGGTTTCGTTCACTGCCTATGGTTATGTCTTAGTGACATAGTGGCTTTCTTGGAGAAATCATGCCTTTTCAATTCGTTGCCCACTGAGTTTCAGTAGTGTCCATACTCTTTGCACAAATCATGGGGCTGAACACAGTGGGATATTGGTGTGGGAAACTATGTTATTTTCTGTGTGCAGGATGGCAGTAACTGCACTGCCATGAGTAGAAATACAGCATAGTCTATCTAACAGTTAAGTGGTATGAATAAATACAAATGATTTAAAATTAATTCTGAGAGAATTAGTACTTTATGCTCTAGAGACAACCTAACTCAGCCTGGAGATCCATTCCTAATATCTTTCCATTTCAATTTGGGAGTGATGGGAAAATCCTCTTTATGGTCAGTGGTAAGTGATTTTGTAGATATCACTTCCACATAGCTATTATTTTGATTGAATCTTTCATCTTTTAAGTCAGAGTTTGTTTTTGGTTTCTAAGGTATGGCATGAAACTGGTCTGTGTTTAAAATGAAAGTGGCTGATGTGTCAAGTAGTAATTATTGATTTTGAAAAGTCTAGGTTATATTTCTGATAGATACTCTATTAAGATGTTAGAATGGCTTAGAAAAATATCTCTCTGAGTTGTTTGCACAAAGAGAGAATGAACTGGCCATGCCAAGGAGTCTAACCATGGCTGGCATCAAAAAGAAAGGGTTGGGCCTCCCCGGTGGTGCAGCGGTTGAGCGCTGGGTTGTGAAGCTGCCCACAGACTGCAGCGCCGGTTTGATCCCTGGCTGCTCCCTGGCCACCGGAGGAGGGTCCCACATGGTGCGCAGACCTTTCCTGCCACCCGCTGCTCCCCTCAGCAGTGTACTTCGGTCCTTCTGCCTGCTCTGCTCCCTGCTCTGGCTCTGGTGAATTCTCTCACCCTCCCGTGCTTCTGACTGTACCCAGTGCTTGTATAAATAAAAAAAAATAAATCGTTAAAAAAAAAAAAAGAAAGGGTTCCTCACTCCAAAGAGTTATTGTAAGCAAGATAAGACACCTTTCCCCCCTGTTTTTTGTTTTTTTTTTTAATTTGTATCTTTTATTGTGCATTTCTTGTAAAATTCCCACCACCATTTCACCCATGAACCATCACCACAGTCGCTTGTGTTCTTCTCTAACTAGGGTAGGAGAAAACCTAGCAGATTGGTAAAGAGATGCTCTCTTTCCTTTCCTCCTCCACTTATTTTATCCCTTTCAGTTTATTTTGGCACAAATGTTGAAGATAATAAGCAATTGCTCTGTGCTAGGCAATATGCTAACAATGGGAATAATTAATATTTTGCTCAAAATATATTTTGACAGCTCTTGAGAATTAATACACATAGTACACAATTTATCCATTTAATACATACAATTCAATGGTGTTTAGTATGTCCATTAAGTATATCTGTGGACATCACAATATTCAGTTTAGTTTGACTCATTTTGATACTTTTACTAAGAAAGTCCTTAGGTTCATAAAAAAACCTCTTTGGCTCCCTTCCTAGACCTGCTTCTTCTGTTGGTATTGGTATAATGGTTCCTACCATTGCATACCACCTGCTGTGAGCTAAGTACTATGCTTAGTTGCCTGACAATTATTACATTTTCCCAGTAACCCTGTAACTAAGTTCTATTCCTACCTTATATAAATGAGAATAGTACCTAAGTGCTTAGCATTTATCAAGAACAAGTATTATCTCAATTGACATATAATTAGAAACTTCTCTAGAATCTTTTTCTTTAACTTTTGCCTCATGCTTCTTCCTCTAGTTCTTGAAGCTTGCTAGGCTTCTTTGTCAAGAAAGAGCGAGACACAGTAGCAATTAAGATTTTCAGTCTTTTGATGAGAATCACAAAGGCTAAATGCTTTACTGACTTCACACATTTTTTTACTGAGAGAGAGAATACCTTGTACAGATAGATAAAGTGAATGCAAGACTAAGGACTACAACCAAATAGTTGCTTTCAACCCTCAGAGAGATAGTTTCAACCCTTCAAAGAGATTAAAAAAAACATTTTTTTCTATAAACTTTTGACTGTTTATTATTTTCAGTTTAAGATTTGTTTTTCTTCCTTGCAGATGGATCTTATTAGTTAGCTAACTTCTCTGTGCTGTGAAGTGATTCTTGTGTAAATGTTTCTGTAATAAATGTGTCCTTTTGTGAAAACAAATAAACAAAAAACCAAACCATTTTAAAATGCCACTTGAAAAATATGTGTGACTCTGTGCTGAAGCATCAATGGTAAGGAATAGAAAGAGGTTTCTGTAACTTTGGGCAGATGGATAGCTAGAAAATAAAGATTCTCTTCAAACACCAGAACACAAAAATATTCAGGTTGGCTAACTCTAGCACTGATTTAGGTAATTTATATATCTTCTGGTGAACAATTAACTTTGGATAGTGAAATCAGTTTTTCTACTGGCTCTAAATTGAAGAATAATGCTTTTGTGATGTACACATTTTTTTAGGCTTTGGAAACAGCATTGCTGATAAAGGGCCCCAACTAAAAGAATAACTATACCAACCCTAATAGTTATTAGCTGAACTTGAACTATCTTAAATGAAGGTTTGAGGGTCTCCCTTGTGGCACGGGTGGTTGAACACCACACTGTGAAGCTGTCTGGAGCGTCCACCGCACGGGTTCTGTTCTGGCTGGGGAGCAACCCACATGGCGAGAAGACCTCTCCTGTCTTGCCTGCTGCTCCCCTCAGCAGTGTATTTCAGTCAGTCTGCCTGTTCTGTCTGTCCTGTCTCCACTCTGTCTCTGGTGAATCCTCTCACCCTCCAGCACATCTGGCCTGTACCCTGGTTCTTGTATAAATAAATAAATCTTTTAAAAAATGAAGGTTTGAAATGAGTAGGAAAGTGTAGTGTTGGTTTTAAAATTTTATTTTTCAACCCCTTAGGCCATTTTCTAGATTTTTGTAAAAATAGTTTGAATCTTCATTTCAGGTTAGTTTCTATGATAATTGCTTGTATAGTGTTTATAGCATTTTTTTTTAAAGCTGAGATAGTTAATATATTTTATTTGTCCATCTAAACAGCATGCACTGTCATTCTGAGATTGGGATTTTTCTCCAACTATATGCAAAGAAATAAATGTTCTGATAGTGTTAATTTATTTCTTTTTTCTAGGAGTCAGAGAATAATAAGTTATGTTCCCTATATTCCTTCCGAAATACCTCTACCTCACCACATAAGCCTGACGAAGGGAGTCGGGACCGCGAAATAATGACCAGTGTTACTTTTGGAACCCCAGAACGCCGCAAAGGAAGTCTTGCCGATGTGGTGGACACACTGAAACAGAAAAAGCTTGAGGAAATGACTCGGACTGAACAAGAGGGTATGTGTGGACTTAACTGTTGGACTTTATTCTTTTAAAGATTCCAAGCCTTAAGAAGAAAAAAAAAAAAGAGTGGGATTTCAAGGGCCAGAGAAGTGCATAATTGGCACTAGCTAGGAAAAAGTTATTCAGAGGTTACCATGGTGATGGCAGATTGTGCTCCATTAGGGGTGTTAAGCAGATAGCTCCATTTTTAATAAAACTTTGTGCATTTATTTGGTTCTTATGATAACAAATCAAGGTTTTAAATTGACTGTAAACCTTGTCGTGGAAAAAGGTAGTATGGGAATTCTCCCAGCTGCAACTTTATTTTTCATTTTTTCCCTTATTTCCTTTTGCTAGATAGTATTTTATTAAAAAAAAGATAAACTGCTTGCAACACACACACACACACACACACACACACCCCAAAATTTCTTCTAATTTTTGTAAATATTATCAATTTATAAATATTATTTTACTTTCAAATGCTATCAATTTGAGAACTGAGGGTTTCTAATACTGTTAAAGCTACATGTCAAAAGTGTTTTGATATGAGACATCTACTGCAACATCTCATAACCACTCTCTTTACTCTCACCACAAGAGTCCACTCACATTCAATGAGTTTCAAACATACAGATGTAGCAAGATAATAATAATATTTTTAAATTAAATAATCAAATCTAAGTGATTGCTATCCTAAGTACATTCTTTCATTATTTATGTACAGATATTTGGCAAAAATTCCAAAAGAATTTTGGTGACTTCGTCAACCACATCATCGGTTTTGTTGGAAGGATCTAAAATATATTACATGTCTCCTTGTTGTAATAACCAGATTATATAGCACAAAATATAAATATTTTTTGATGACTCAGGGTCATGATACAGAAGCTATAAAACCTAATACCCACTTAATAATTATGTGACCTCGGATAACTTCTTCAAACTTACCACAAAATTGAAAATTTAGCGTAGTACTAATGCCTGACTTGGCACCTCCAACATTTTGAGAATTAACTACAATAAGTATAAAAATTTCTTATGAACTGTAAGCTATATAAATTTTAGTGATTGTGATTACTATAATAGTGTGAATTAATTATTTTACCATGCTGTAACATAAGATCATTGAGATAATTAGGACTATTTGGAGGTATAGTTTCCAACTTGGAAACTGTAAAAATTGGAAATTTTGTGTCTGCTTGATACAGATAATTTTTTTGGCTTGTGTGTGATGGTTTTTATCCTTTGATATCAGGTTCCAGGCTATTACCTCTTGCTCAATTGTGAACAATTTATAATTTACTCCATCATTCATTTATAGATTTTGAAATTATATGATTATGATATTCTGAACTATATTTAAGCTATGGATAAATATGTCTGGGTGAGTTGCTAAAAGGTTCTGGGTAATATATATTGGTCTTTAGTGCATGCACTTCATGCAGACTCTTCTTGTTGCTCAGAGACTTTATTTTTTCATTCTTGGCTATGATCTAAAATAATTGGGAATGTCAGATCAATAATTTTTGAATAAGTGAGATTGTTAGACTTTTTTTAACAGAAGATTTATTTTATTATACATACAAGAACTGGGGTGTAGGTCAAAGGTACAAGGCATGAGAGGATTTACCAAAGACAGAGTGTGGAGCAGAACAGGTAGATCTACTGAAATAAACTGCTGAGGGGAGCAGTGGGTGAGACAGGAGATGTCTGCTGCGGCATATGTGGGTTAGCTCCCTGGCCAGGGATCGGACTCATGCCACAGTGGCTGGTGATAGCTTGAAAGTGCTGAGACTAAACCCTGTGCCACCAGGGAGGCCCCAAGATTGTTAAGCTTTTAATTGTAAGTCACCAAAAAGGTGGTTTTAGTTTTGTAAGCAGGTGGTTTTTAATATAGAGAGTTCTTTTAGTATAAAAATAAAGAAATTGCTTTTTGACTTTTTTTTCTGATCTGGACTACTAGGGGATTTAAAATAATTTTTCTCCTGCAAATTAGTTTACCTCCTGTCCATTATAGTTGATTTGATATAAAGAGGCGTTTGCATGATGAGGCCTCACACTTAAAAATTCTTCACTATTATATTCCTACTGAAAAGAATGTTCTTTGTCCTTTAAAGAACTTTTATTGTTTTCTATAGTATATCTATTTTAAGCATCAGAAATTAAAAATTTTCAGTGTATAGTAATGTATATAACATATTAAGTATAGATATGAAGTGATAGAATCCACGATCATCAAATTTGCAGATTATACGTATCTGGGAGGAGTGTAATATATGAAAGAAACAAAACACAAAATATTTTGACAAACAATGCATAAGCTTAAAACTAATCCATCAGAGATTGTGAGCAAAACTCTTGACTTTAAAAGAGACTCAAAAGAATTGAAATATTCTCTGAGGACAACAATTGACATGATAATGAACACAAAATTATATAATAAGGGAAATGGTTGAAGGAATTAGTAATATTAACCCCAGAGAAATGAAGATCAAGGATGATATGATTGTGTCTTTAAGATTAAAGTCATGTGGAGGAGAGATTGTGTTTATTCTTTCTAGCTCCCTAGGAATAGAATGCAAATCAATGACAAGAATTTATAAGGAACCAGATTAATGTTTATAACAAGGTCAACTAATGGTTGTAGTATCCATGTATATAATAATCTTCTATGGAAGAAATAAATTGCTTTCAGAGATAGCAATATGCAAGACTGAATTTTTATGAACCATATGCTTGTATAATACTCTGTAGTTTGTGGTATTTTTTTATAGCTCTAATCAAGAACTACATAGTATTGTGATTTTCTTTTCTACAGATTTTTCTTCTTCTTTTGCAAGCTGCTGTATTAGTGCTGAGGGAGTCTTACCTTCTCATTCTCCTCTCACCCAACCTCCTGCACCCCCCAGTGAATCTCTCTTTTGATGGCCTAGTGAAGTTGACAGATCCTTTTTTGTTGTTGTTACTATATAAATCAACCCATTTATTATAGGCTAGTGATGTTTCAAATCGTGGGCTTCTACTGGTCTTTCATTTCCTTCAGTCTTCTGATGGCAAATTTTACTGGGACATCAGAAGTGTGTTGTATGTCCAGGCATCACCAGTTATGGTTTTCAGGACTATAGGGCCAGATCCCCAAGGCTCACCTCTTCATGTCGGTTTTGCCACAGAAGGAGCAATTATAGTTGTCACTTTGGCTGATTTCAGTTTTCTTCACCCACTTTCCAGAGGGAGGCACCATAATAGGCTCTATAGTTACTAACCATCCTACCCTTTTTAGTTAGTGCCTTTGGCCATGTCACCTCCAACCAGGTGTCCAGTCCCCAACAGATCCTTTCTTATGTTAAGTGAATAAAGTGAAACCCATGAAATTTGGAGAAAATAGAGTAAAATCTTAAAATTTTAAAATTTTCTCATGTGATAGAAAATGCTATTTTACTAATGCTTTAAGCAATATTATATAATTGAGGACCTAAAAATATCATAATTTTGAAGTACCTATACACCTAAAATATATTTTGAGATATTTTCACAAGTATTATATGATGTAAAAATATATTGTGATTCTATTGGTTACAGTGTCACAAATACTATGAATATTTTATGGTTGTTGCCTGTATCCACAATTTAAGGAAATGTAAAATTTCAATTATAGGTTAGTGAAGAATTTTTTCTTTCCAAGGTCACAGACCACCCGAATACTATAAATGGACTCTCGGGGTCCATAAACCCTTGGTAACAACCCCTCTACTACATGATACAGGGTGCCCATAATGAATAAGACAGATTCTAACTTTAGGAAGTTCATATTTTACTAAGTGGTATAAGACATATACAAAATGAACTCTAATTCAATGTCTAACATATAAGTTCCATGAAAGCCATGTAGATGAAGTGTTATAGGAGTGTACAAAACAGACTATGTCTGCCTAGGAAGCCATGGAAAGGTTCTATAGGGAAATGGGTCTTAACTGGTCTTGCAGAATGAAGGATTTATATAGGCAGAAATGGAGAGAAGGGATATTTAAGGTAGAAGAAATAGGGAGTGAGCTTTAAAACAATCAACAATTAAGGTTCTAATTTAAAGTATCTGAAGATTCATGTGGGATATAAGGCTGAAAAACTAGGTTCTGTTCAGATTACAGAGATCCTTTAATTCTTGACTAAGGAGTTTGAAATTTATTTTGAAGGTTGTGGAGGAACCACTGACTTTTTTTTTTTTTTTTTTTTTTTAGCACAATAAAGTGATGGATTAGAGTTTTCCTTCAGGAAAGTTAATCTGGCAGTTCTTTGTAGGATGTATGGGAGCGTGGAGAGACATTAAGGAAATTGTTTCAGGCCAAAGATAATGAGCGTTGAATTAAGGCAGCAGAAATGAGAAAGAAAGAAGAGGTGCATATGGAAAAGATATCAGGAGACAGAATTGTTAGGGCTTGACGTTCAAGTGTGGAGACCAAGAGAGGGGAATGGTTCAAAGGTAGCTCAGCAATTTTAAACTTTGAGTGAATAAAAGGGTGGTGATACAATTCATTCTTAAACTTTGTAAATATACTTGTTGCTAAAGGAAATGGGGGATGGAGGAGGGAAAGGGAATGGAAGGAGACAGAGTACTGGTATGGGAGATTTGGTGGAAGGTGAGTGAAACAGGTGCACATATAGGAGAAAAAATGTAACCCCAATGTTATGTAAACATGTAAATAACTGACAAATTAACTTTCAAAAAGGAAAAAAAATGTAATTAAAAAAAGAAATAGAAGAACATGTTTTGGAGATAGTCTCTACTTTTTATTTTGAGTTTGGTTCCTAATTTTAATTATCTGTGAGGAGCAATAAACAGAACAGTATAATGGGAGAACAGAAATAATTATAGAAAAGCTTATTAAAAAACTTAGAGATAGATTTCTGATTCTACAATAATTAGGCCTAAGGAGGTGTAATAGCTTCACCAATATTTGCTTGTCTAGGACCCTTTAAAGCCCCCGGGTCATCTCCTCAATTGGACCATCTCTTAT